CCGGCCTCGGGGCCCTGTTGGAGGCGCAGGTAAGCTTCACCTTCAGAACAGTCAGTTTTGTGGCGTGTTTGCCGGGTTACTAAACATGTTTACGAAACATTAAGTGACGTTTAATCGGCTAAAAACACTTGGGGACAGCTAGGAATTCCATTCATTCGTTTATCCATCCGACAGACGTCGCCGACACGCGAAGCGCCCGGCCGGGCGCCGGGGCCACGGTGTCCCCGTGGGGCGGAGAGGCCCTGGGTGGGAGGTAAAAGCCCGGGTGGGAGGTAAAGGCCCGTCTCATAGGCAGATGCAGCCACCGCGTTCGCCAAGGCGGCGGCGCTTGAGTAGAGCTTGGACCAGGCGTCAGGAGATGGCAGTCCCCCCCCTTTTTTATTGAGTTTATTGGGGTGACAGTGGTTCATAAAATCATAGGTTTGAGGGGTACAGTTCTGTAACATCACCTGTCTATTGCATTGTGCGTCACACACACCCCCCAAGTCAAGCCTCCTTGCGTCGCCTTGTGTCCCCCCTGTGCCCTCTGCTCCCTCCCCCACCCCAGGGGATTGCAGTTCGGTCTCCGCTCATTAACTGTCTCTTAGCTCCCGGTGTGTAAAACCGGCGTAACGTGCCTGCCCACGTTGATTGTTAGCAGGGTCAGGTGTGAAAATGTGGCATAGACAAGGAGGACAGTGATTTATTGAGTAACATGAAACTAGCGTAGAGTTTAATTATAGGTCCAAAATCAGTTGGCGAGCGGGGCAGGGAGAGGCCCCGCACCAGCAGCCGCCTATGGAGCCCCAGGGGCTGTTTCTGTTGCCCAGTATGCCAGCCGAGTGGGGTTACTGGGCATTTGAATTGGAGCTCATCGAATTGATGTGCCGGGAGAGTACAGTGCACACTGGACTTTGAAGACTCAATATGAAAAAAAATAATGTAAAATATCTTGATTACATATACTATAGTGTATTGATTATATATGTTAAGATGACAATTTGAGAGGCATATTGGGTTAAATAAAATGTTGCTGAAGTTAATGTACCTGTTTCTTTTCATTTTTAAAAATGTGGCTTCTAGAAAATTTTAAATTACATACGTCGCTAATATGTGTGGCCTCCATTCTTTCTCTGTCTGACACAGCATCCTTCTAGAACAGTTATAGAAAGATGAATGGTAGAGGCATAATTCCTGGTTCCAACATCAAAACTCCTAGCTCTTCTCTATCTCATTACATTGTTAAGTAAAAAATGTAACTTCTACAGCTGAAAGTCTTTAAGCATCTTTTGGCCCGTTGATAGCAAAAAAAAAAAAAAAGGCAACCAGGTCTGTCCGGGGCATGAAACCTAAACTACCAGCAGCTTTGCCAGGTGGAAAAGCGGTCCTGGAGTGTTTCTTTACGTCAAGGGGAGTGTGTATGTGTGAGAAAGGAATTACAGGGGCTCTAGATAAAGTGGTGGGAGAAGGTGAGGAGGGCTAGTTCTGGGCTGGGTACACAGTCCCCAAGGAGGCGTCCTCACTGTGGATTAGCTGTGGGCAGCAGAGTGGGAAGTTCACGTGTAAGCCAGAAGCTGAGGCTCCTGGGCTTGGATGGCGCCTGGCTGTTCTCTCTCAGCTAATCGCGGAAACAGCCACCTGGAAGTTAGTCCAAAATTCCGGCAGACTTACAGGAATGTGAGCAGTCTTTTGTCAGCTGGCCCACAGCTAATAACTGGTTAATTATTCCTGTCTGTTTCTCTCACTCTCCTGCTGCTGTCATTTAATAATTGAGAACATCTCAGAATATTTTTCTTGTCAACATTATCACAGTTATCTTAAAATACAGTTTCACCTTTTTCCCTCCTGTTTAGAAACCTTTCCTGTTACCTGTAGCAGCAGTCAGCAAACTAGAGCCCATGGGCCAGGTGGCCCACTGCCTGTTTTTATGAATAAAGTTTTATTGGAGCACAGCCATTCTCATTTGTTAAGGAATCTCTGTGGCTGCTTTTTTGCTCTAAGGGCAGAGATGAGTAATTGTGACAGAGACCTATGGCCCGCAGAGCGTAAAATATTTACTTTCTGGCTCTTTACAGAAAAAGTTTGCTGACTCCTGACCTATGGGAACAACAGTGCAGACTCTTAAACAAAAGAAGGCCAGTTTAGCTCTGCAGATAAATTTATGAATGCCTACTATGTACCGGGAACTGTCCTAGGTACTAAGAATAGAGAGCTTCCTGTTTCCTCACCCCCAACAACAACAGAAAACCCCGGTTTTCATTCTGGTCCTCAGGGAACTCTAATAGGGGAAACAAAAGGTTTTTCTCGGAGACGCAGCCTAGCACAGGTTAGGATTTCAGGCTCTTAAGTCAAATTGAGTTTAACTCCCAGTTCTGCCACTTGCTTACAGTTTGATTTTGTACAGGTGTTTTGTTTTACTGAATGTGCCCATCTTTAAATTGATGATTAAAGTATCTGCCTCAAGGGATTTTTATGAACATGAAGTGAGTTAATACATATTAAAGTGCTTATAACAGTGTCTGGAGCATAGTACACATTACTAAGTGTTAGCTATTGAAGTGTGATTGACGCATAAAGTTTATACATGTACTGACCTCAGAGAGGAAGGCAATTTAGTGGAAGACAGTGGCAATGCTCAGAGAACTGTCTTGAGGGAAGCGATGGAAAAGTTTGAAGCCCGTGATTTGACACTAACCTGCTTTTTCATTTTTATTTCCTGAGTTCATCTCCCCAATATACTAGTCACACTAGCTCCTTGTCCTCCGAGCACTAATTCCCTCTCGGTACCCTGCCTCTGCCCTGCTCTTCCCTCTGCTGCCAGTGCTTTTTCTCTCATAACCTTCAAGGTCTGTCTGAAATCCTGTCAACGTAAGGATCTGTTCAAAGTTGCTGACATTGAAGTTAATTGACCTTAGTCATTTATTAGAGAGCATAGTGTAGGTAAAAAAATCTGAGCTCTAGTTTGGGCTCTGCGATGTGACCTTAGCAGGCTTGTAACTAACTGCACCTCACGTTCTTCCTTTGTGAGGCAGAAATGTTTACTTAAAAGATTACTCTTGTTAAATAAGATGATTATTTAAAGGGTCTGGCAGGTACTCAGTAGTGTAGGTGTCAGTAAGGGTTAGTGGCCCCTCCCTCTCCTCTCTTGGAGCCCTAAAATAAAATCAGAAGCAGATCTGGGGTAAAGTCATTTAATCTGATCTCAGTTTGAGGACTCAGACCATGTTTATTTCTGTTTGTATCCCTAGCACCCAGCACAGTACCTGGCTTAGAGTAGCTTTCATTTGTTTGCATTGAGAGTTTGTCACAGCTTCTAGGTGGCAGAGGTGGGCTAGAATCCAGGTCTGCTAATGCCAAAGTTACCTGACAGCCAAGATGTTATGTAGATATAGGCATTGTTCAGAATGTGACATTGATTTTGAGAACTAGAATTTTTATTGTGTTTTATTGACTTGTTTATATGGTTCCTATGACATCAAACCATTACAATGGAGAAAGTAAGATTTCTGATTTTAGACAGTATATCCTCTGACAGCACAGATTTTTTCTACAAGATATTTTGGGAAGTGGGGTTGAAGTAAACATGGGGAATAGGTTTCGTCTCTGGGCCTTTCCTCCTCTTTTCTCCCAGCATCTAATGCATACAAGCATTTGGAATATATGCAACATCATTCATGCGATTGGAAAACTATCAAGTACAGCAGGACTTCTGAAACAAGCTGTCAGCCACAGTGTCACACCACCATGGCAATATGTGCTAGAACAGCACTTCAAAGAAGAAAACCAAACATAATGACATCATTATGTCACAAAACTCAGTCCACTTATCTTACAAATTTGGAAGTGGAAAGGTTTTCCCCCATAAGAACGCTTAATTTAAGTGGAATTGAAGTAGGAATCTGATCTGTTTCACATATATTGCTCTAGATACTAGAAAAATAGAATCAAAACATTTTCTGGTTTTAAAGATAACTCTTCCTGTTTTTGTGATGTTCACCTGTGCTGCTGTTTCTTTTCAGATAACAGACAAAAGATATGGTAACCTCATCATATGAACTAAGATTTTAATCCAATGTAAAATTAGTCAGCATAAAAAAAATCCAAACACTTCAGTCTGGCCTCACTCAACTATTACCAGGTTTTCCCATCAATACTCAGTTGCTCTGTCTACATTTTTTATTTCTGTAGCAGATAAGTAGTGGTAGAACGTGGGAAAGGTTTAAAATACCTTTGGAAGAATAACTTAAGATTGGACAAGTTGTTTTCTTTCCCTTTCTGTTCTTACATAATTATTTAATTCTAGCAGGGTAGTTAGAGATATTTTTTCACCAGTTTTTCCCTTTTATTTCCTAATTACTTAAACATCTTTATTTAATTTGATTGTTATGAGCACCTTTATTTTTATGCCTCTGTTCGATGCTGGATTCTGCAGGGTGCAGTATAGTGTGTAGAAAGCTAGCTTGTTTTCTTTTAGGGCTTCAAGTTACTCTAGGGTAAGATAGGTGATGATAACCTGCTGGCTGTGCTTCTATGGATGTACTGCATAGAGGATGCTGAGCAGATGTGCTTTCTACAAAGCACATCTGCTCAGCATCCTCTATGCAGGAACATTTTCTGCAAATAAGGGGAGGGAACATGTTATCTTATCCTTGACTCGACATTCCAGTATTTTAATACTACTTCACATTTTAAATTTTTTCAAATGGAATCTCATAAATCATTTGATGGTTTGAATTGGTAACTTTTTTAATGTAAAGAGTTATTAAATTGATGGTTTATCTTTCAATAGATGCTATTTTAGAATCAGGATGGTCAGGTTATGTTCCAGGCTAGTACTAGGCATTCTCCATTGTTTATCTCTCTCAGTTCTCACGACAACTCCATTTCACAGGAGAGAAAAGTTTAGCCTCAGGTTACAGACCCAATTACTACTTACTCTGGGAGAACAGGAATTTCAGCTACAAACCCAGTGTGCTTGCCCAGCCACCCACAAGTTAGGAACAGCTGTGGGGCTCCTGTGGCTGGTAGGAGTGAGCGATGACTGGTGTCCTGGGACTGCTTCTGATGGTGGGCTTGTCTTTTCACACAGGAGAGGCAGTGTTAGAGTGAGCATTGAGCTGCAAGCGGTTTCTAACCCGGTTCACAGAAAGGTCGGTATGCACTTCATTTTTGACCTGTGATAACTTCTGTTACATTATAGATCATTGTCTTGTTCTTGAAGAATGAGATCTTTACTCCCATCTTGCTTTTAATTTGGGGCCGTTTTGTAACTGGCAGGTCTGGAGTGGTAGAATCTACCACGATCACAGCTGAGAGATTATGGTACCATATATTTCTAAAGCATACAAAAATGGGGGTTGGAAGACTAGATTCCTTAGGTACACCCAGTACACTGATGATGCTAGACTATCTATTGCTAGGCTGTGGAGTTGGCATTTCATGGTATACATATGAGAAGAGAATGAATGAATCTTGGCAGGGAGAAATTCTTGGATCTTTTACTTTGCTTTTGAAGAGAGGCATTTAGAGCGTCAGTCCTATGTGATCTTCGGAAGTATGAGTCATTAGCAGATATGGGTGCAGGCCAGAGGACTGAGAGGTACAGTATCTGTTCTCTGCCACAGCTTTCTCTAAAATATTCAGGGACCTGGGAGTATTAGCAACAGCTTCAGTTTTGTACAGCATCTTGGGGGGATATCAGGAAGGACTTCAGTAGTAGTTGCTTGAAGAACAGGGCATTCTGGGGCAAAGTAAATGCCTAGATTGCTAATTTTTGGGAAGAGATTATATTTTATGCTTCCTACCTGTTACTCTATGTGTGCTGTGTGCCTCTTCATTCTCTAGCTTACTCATAAGTGGGTTAGGTTTTTCTAGGACCCCTAACAGTTCCTCAGCAGCTCAAGGAGATTTTGTTTCAAGTGGAACCTTGTTCTTAACCCAAGTGCTTGTTTCTTTATTGTCCTTCATCTTGTTGCTCTGCCCATTTTCCTTATACCGATGTTCTCTGAAGTCCCTAATTTCACTGTGCTTTGCTGTCAGCTTTAGCTGCTGTGATGAGCTGGCACACAGTAAACTTTACCTGGAAGGAGGTCTTGATGAAAAGTGTCGACTTCCTTTGAAACTAAGGACAGATGGGCTCCACATCTGTGGCCATCTGGAGCGGAGTGGTGGGCCCTGAGGAGGAAGCCCTGGCAGCATGTCACCTGATACCCTGTCCTCTGCCCAAAGGACAAATGCTCCCTTTTTTTCCAGGGTGGGTGATGGTCATTTCTGCTGATGTATTTGCCACTTTTGAAATACCAGGCAATCAGTTTGCCAGAAACCAAAATATAATTGAATGCGATGTTGTCAGTGGTGAAGAACATTGTTGCTGTGGTGTCATAGTGCAGCCAGGGCTGGGCCTGGACTTTCCTAAGCCTCTGCCAGGGTGACATTCCTAAACTTCAAATTCCTCGTTAATTAACTCCTCAGATCCCCCTGTGGCTCTTAACAAGCAGAGTAAGTACCTCTGTTTAAGATCTAAGTCTGTAAGCCAGCAGCACTAGGAAACTGGTTCCAGCTGAAGCATGATGTTGGTACATTGATGTCGGATGATGTGCTTATTACTCTGAAAGCTACAGCTACTAAACACATTAAAAAATAATCTTTCTTTTAGGATTTAGTTATCCGTCTGACCGATGACACTGATCCATTTTTCCTCTATAACCTTGTTATATCTGAGGAAGATTTTCAGAGGTAACTAGACTTACTTTTCTGGCCTTATATTTAATCTAGGCATAGTAAGTTTTCAAGTTTTATGCATGTATTGGTACTATTCTCTTTGAAACACATACCTATTAGGAACATTCAGTATTTTGGGAACCAGGAGTCTATTTAGACTATAATTAGTCAGAATGCTTTTGAAGTAAGTATTTCATAGATTATTAGAGTCCTGCTTACAATAGCTCAGAAATTTGGATCTTTAGCTAAATTTATTGACCTTTTTCCTCCCATTGAATAAATTTTATAAAAAATCAAAAGTTTCCTGGTTTATTAAATCTTGATTATGAGTGTTTAGTAAATAAAAAATAATCTTTCAGGGTGTTAATTATAAAGATAGTAGTTAAATTTTTTTAAAATATCTTTTCCTATTTTCCGTGTAGTTTAAAATTCCAGCAAGGTCTTCTGGTAGACTTCTTAGCTTTCCCGCAGAAATTTATAGATCTGCTCCAGCAGTGTACTCAGGAACATGCCAAGGAAATCCCAAGGTGAGTCTCATGAGAATACCGTGTTGTTGACCTTCTCCCAAGACGAGCCCTTTTTTGTAGGACCAGTTGATCGCTCAGTTTTCTCTGTATATTGAAGTATCCCTGTCTGTCTGAGAAACTGGGATTCCAGGGATCCACCAGATTGTAAATTTAATTAATCTCACCATGAAAATCAGAAATATTTACCCTTAATTTTCATGTGTTGACAAAGCCATTAAAAGTATCTGAAACATTTAAGAGCATCAAGTATGTTTTTATACTGAGCTTGGAAAAGGAGAGAAGCAGCTTTGTGGGGACTGGTAGTCATGAGGTGCTGATGCCTGATCCTTTCATTGTGAGATTCACCAGCCTTCTTCTGTTGGTTCCTCACCTGATGGTGGTTGGTGGAATCATTTATGTCATTAGGGACTACGAATTATGCTTTTCTATATTTATTAGGTATAATTCTTCTATAACGAACTTTCCCTCATCAGCTAGGGCAATTTGATTCTGAAAATTCATACAGGAAAGGATAAATGCTCGGTTCTTTTAAATTGTCAATTTTTAGAGTAAGAAGTTGTAACTCTAGTTATTTTTGTGGTTTCAGTGGGGTTTTTAATTTTATTTTTTTGCTATCTCATCTGTCATCGTGAACTTGTGGACATTTATATATTCATTATGTTTCAGTCAGTTTTTTTTCTTGTTCAGTTTATACCGATTACCCCACTTTGTCCCATTTTACCATTGGGAGGCCTTTCATGTTGGCCCCTGTGATTCCAGTGTGCCCCTTTTCCTGATCCTTCTAATTATCAATGATCCATTGAGTCGTGGAGCCTGGTGCAACAGGGTTCACGGCTCAGCGGGAGAGTTTCACCACCTTGTAAAGGTCTGATAATGTGATGCTTTCTTTCCCAAGGTTTCTGTTGCAGTTAGCTTCTCCAGCAGCTGTTTTGGATAACTCTCCTGCCCTTTTAAATGTGGTAGAGACAAATCCTTTTAAGCATCTTACACACCTCTCACTAAAACTTTTACCTGGAAATGATGTGGAAATAAAGAAGTTTCTAGCAGGCTGTTTGAAATGTAGCAAGGTAAGATTTCAATTGAAGTTACTCTTTTAAAATAACTACCAAAGGCCTCCAACAAATCACTGAAGAGCTATATTGCTTTTAGTTTTGATTTTCTGAATAAAGATGTCCAGGAAAATTTTATAACATGTAGAGTTTATTTTATTTTTCATTTACTCAGGGTACAAGGATAGGACTGGATCAGGAATTGAGAAAGTTAGGTCCCAGAGTTTTTACTAATTTTCTGCCATCTTGGGCAGGTCGTTTAAACTCTGGGTGTCCTGATTTCTTCAGCTTATAGATATGTGTGGAAATATCTAGCCTGTTTTAAATTGGATGAAATAAAATATATACAAGTGCCCTAGAACAACATTGGGAGGCCTTGTAAGAGCTTTCAGAAAGTCTCCTTAGTCAAATGCTATAGATCAGTGCATCTCAAAATTTAATGGCACACAAGTCTTCTGAGGATCTTGCCACACAGATTCTGACTCAGAAGGTCTGATTAGGGTAGGGCCTGCAGTTCTGCCTTGCTTTTTTCTTTTTTCCTGTGATACTGCATTTCTAACAAACTCCAGCATGATGCTGAAGCTGTACTTTGCTACAATTTGAGTAATACAGCCATGGATGATTAAATTGTAAGCTACATAATTCTATTTTTATAAACAGGAAGAAAAATTATCATTGACACAATCACTAGAGGATGTTACTAGGCAACTGAATTTCACACAGAAGGTAATTCAGGTTTTTTCTTTGTAAGTCATCCAAACATTGGCTCTGCTTTGCCTCTTGAATCCCATCCAGGCTTTTGTGTATTTTTCAAAGCCTATACCACAGGATTCCTTCTTCCCCACTTTCCCCACCAGTTAGCCATCTTAATCTGATGCTTTCTCTCTCTGATATTTCATTCCATCCGCACATTTTTGTTTCCCCAACATACGACATGTTCCCGCCAGGTCTTCACTAAATATGATCATGTCACGTGTTCGTTCTCTGCTCCTCTTGTTTACCTCACTCCTCTTGTCTGAAATGGCCTCGCAGTTCCTGCCTCGGGAAGCTTTCCCTTCCTTCTGTTACGTTTAGAATGAATTTCTCTGATAGATCTATCATTCCAGTCATTGTACTACCTTTTTGCCCCCAGTACTTGAAACTGAGGACCACAATGTCTGATAATCGATACTCTGCACAGCCCAGCCCATCAGGAAACCCAAGTTACTGGGCTTTGTGTGTTAAGTGAGCTACTCCGTATGACTGCCTGGCTCCAGCCTGCATGTATTTACTTCTCAT